GACATCACTGAAATATGTTGGCGACACGATCGTTTCTACGTCCTGTTGTTTTTCACATGCACGTGATCAGTGACCATGTCTGTAGTGGGTTGTGTGACATCTTTAACACATAATGTGCTGGAGCTCCCTCATTCTAGAGATTAATAGGGTCTATGAATCACGTGTAGTCAGGCCCCTAACCTTGGCCTAATTTGGATTGGGACACCCTACCAGGACCTACAGTTCCTGACGATACAGGACATGCTAAACTAGAAGTAAACTTTGATATTTTGTCAACGTCAACCACTCTCTCTTAAGTGGTTTAGTTGCTTTACTTTGAAAAGACACGATGTAACGAGGAAACTGAGCTCATTAGCGTCGTAGTTTGAAGGACCAAGCATCACTATTTGACGAGTTGAGAGTAAGAATGTGTTGATTATCAGGAACGTACTCATTCTCTGATCCAAGAGTGGGCGATATCGCACTACTGAGACATGTTTCCTTCACATCATGACATTCCATGGGGTGGAATATTTCTGTACATCAAGACACTCTGTGACCTTTTAGTGAGACGCCATGCTGTGTGTCTCCCTTTCCTCATTATTTACCCTCGCTGCCTTCTCCTCTCTCCTCTTCTTTGTCTTATTGACCATCTTCCTCCGTTTCCTTCACTTAGTCGCTATCGATCCCCGAGGCATCATAACTAGCTCGCAGCTTTCAACACGAGTTGACTGAAGTAACACCTTTCTATTTGAGGCGACACCTCACACTGACATACCATTACAGCCTGTGAGTCATAGCTCTTCATCATGTGGAGCATGGAAGGATTCTCAGATTCTGTGACAATGTCGTCCACAGAAATTGTTTCATTTTCTTCTCCTAATCAGAATTTTAAGTGTTTTAGTTTCAAGTGATAATTATAATAAAGCTGATATGATTTTTTTTTACCCTTTTTAGGAAGATTTTATAATGCAAATATCTTTTATGTTGATTGCATCATCTTGTCTCTGTCCTTTGTTTTCCCTGCTTGAATAATAATAATGATGATAATAATAGAGCCTGTTTGTTTTACAGTGACAAGTGTTGTTTTTGGCAATCATGTACAAACTTATTCTGCAGCTTGGCTGAAAATCAAGAAGTTCCAAAACAAACGCACTTTGTCTGATTTCTGTTAGTACAGAGTTCAGAGATATATGATCAGAATTGTCGGGTTTAATGAACATGGACGTGTTTTCTAGTTTGATACTGTAAAATCTTAAATAAAAGCCAGTATTCAAACTATGATATTAATGAGCAATTAAGCATTTTGTGTAAAAAAAAAAAAAAGAAAAGAAAAAGATTGTTGTTCTGATGGAAGTTAAGCTGGAGTTTACTCTATCATGGTAACAGACCGCATCGACAGCAAATAAACTGAACTGTGATAAAGTGTACTTGTAAAACCTGGTTGTGTCCGCATTTGAGTTAAATTAATGCCACCAGCTGCCAATTTAAGGTGGTATTGAATGCCTTGTGTGTTAATTAAACAGCTAATGACAGGACTGACGTGTAAAGGATGTGCAGTGATTAGTTTGACAGTGTGATCTATTGTTAGTCTTCAGCAAATAATCGGCCTTGACAGCAGTGACGGACGTCTACCCTTGTCTCCTCCTGTATATCGGCAGCCACAAGAGGGAGTCCTGACTTACTGTGTGTGTGTGTGTGTGTGTTCCTGGCCATGCAGGGGGTATGACTTTGTCAGCAGCCGGAGGCAGACCGACTATGACTGACTGATTAGGAGCGACAATCTCTTTCTCAGTCTCACACACACACACACACACCTACACACAAACACACACACACTCACACACACACACACATGCCATCATTTAAAACTGTATTGAAGAAGACCTGAAACTGGAGTTTATGGTCTCAATCACTAATGTTGGGGGTATGTGGGTCTCTAAGGTTCTACAAGGTACTACATCATATTCATATTAAATATCATGAATATTATTATACTATACGGGCCTATTTTACAGAGACCTCTCGCTCCAGTGTGGATGGGTCTCCATGTAGAACAAAAGTATTTAAAGGGACATTAGATATAACAGTCAGTAACTTTAGGCCAATGATGTTTTAACATACATCACTATAAGAAGGGTGAAGATGAAGGGATGTGCTTTTGCTGAGTGTTTGCTGCTGAGGAGCTGCTGTAATGAAGCTGACCGAACACAGGTTTTGTTTGTCTGTGGTGTCTTTCTAACATTTTGAAGATAAACTGCAGGCGCTTGTTTGGTTTAAGATATTATCAGAAAGTTAATATCTCAAAGACACCATTGTCCTTTAGAGCCAAAATAGATAGAAATCAGATAAAAGAAAGAGAAAAAGAGAGATCATCAATAATCTGCGGTCATGACTTGCAGAGGAAATGTTGTCCAAGCTAATTTACTGTTGGCGTCTTTGATTTGTGTTAACCCTTCTGAGGTACGGTAAAGTTCAAGAAGACATAACAACATGCTCGGCTTTATCTGCATGTACACTTATGTTTAGTACAAGAGTGGAGGAGGAGCAGGATGATATCAACAATGAGTCCTTATTTTACGGTGCCCGTATCAACAGGTTACTGATCATAAGCTTTTCAACCAGTGTTTTTACTGTTGTACTTTTACGTAAATGTACAAAAGTATTGTCCTTATTAAAATATAATTAAAGTAACAAAAGTAAAAGCACTCATTATCCAGAATGCAACCATTTTATCCATTTTCATCAACTCTTTCAGTGCAATATTTTGTCCTTCCTGTTAAAAAGTTGACCCCAGGATATTGAAGTACTTTCAAACTTTTTATCTTTTAGTTGTTTCGAAATTTTCTGTCAGATTTGACTTTTCTGAACTTCTAGATCTCAACTGCTTGAAAGGTCGGGTTGGCATTTCCAGAACTGCACAGCCTTTATCTCAGAAGATAAAATAAAGATACAACTTTCTATCCTACTTACTCCGTTTTCTCCGTGTAATAGTTTAAAATCCCTTTGCAGCTGCCTAATTTGATCATTGTATCATTTGACATGATTTACAATACATAAGTGCTCTATTGAACAGTAGATGCTGCTTTAACATTGCATGAAAGCAATGGTTATGTTTTACAATCAAAACCGAGGTGACCCAAGTAAGCATTAAGTAGTTTGATCCGATAAATAGATGATCAGGTAAATACTGATTAATGTGTCCCAATGCCATGCCTGTTCAACTATTAACACTAAAGAAAACAAAAGTGCATAACCTCTCTCAACCCCTTTCCCCACCTCTCTTGACATCAGTGTGTTCTTGTTTGCCAGTTACGTCTCTGCTAGATGGACCCATGGTGATGCTGATACATGTGGTGAATTCTTCTGCAGCTGAATAAAGTCTGAAGTTTTCTTCAACCGTCTGCAGCGGCACAACAAGATCTTCCCTCCAGACCTCTGAATGGCTGCTGCTGCTGTTGATGTGTCTGAGAGCTCTCGGATCAATAACATCAAGCCTCAGCATGAGGAGGGTCACGGCGAGCAGTGTTTGTTTGGAGCTTGAGAAAACCAAAACGGCAAAACATGAAGTCAAAGAAGTGTGAGACGGGAGCAGAGGGACAGAGACACCTCTTTCTAAAAAGACGAGATGCAGTCAAGTCTCTGTAAGTTCAAGTGTTCGTCTTTGCTCCAAATATCAGCTTGTGTCAGAAATCAACTTTCTTTCCTTTTGAAACAGAAACATTTTAACATTGATACTATTAGTATGTTCCCTGTAAGGTGGCAATTTTGCAATGTGAACAGCAAGAACAATACTAGATAAAAGGAAAAATACACATAAAAAATGCATAAAAATACACGTAAATCAAACAAACGGGGTGTGTGGATTTAGCGGTGAGGTCGCAGATTGATACCCCGACGCTCACTCCTCCCTTCTCACGTAGAGAACTACGGTGGCCTTCAGGTAACATAAAAACACAAAAGGCTCTCTAGTGAGGCTCTCTAGCTCTCTGAGAGTCAGTGTTTGGTTTGTCCGTTCTGGGCTACTGTAGAAACATGGCGGTGCAACATAGTGGACTCTGTTAGCAGCACCCTGTGTGGATTTAAGAGGCTCATTCATTCGTAATACTATTGTGTGTGTGTAGGTGAATGCACTTGTGGATGCATGCGCGTACATCGTTGCATTCATTCCAAATTCTCGTAAATTTTTTAAATTATAAATCAATTTAACTAATTTAACCATTTTGCAGAACTAATGAAATCTCCATCATCCTAAATTGTACTTTTTTTACTGCTATTTGGAAAAGATTAGCATGCTAAAAAGCTAAACTAAGATGGTGATCATGGTGAACATTACACCTGCATACTATATGTTCGCAATGTTATTGTGACATTAGCATTAAGCTCAGCCTCACAGAGCCGCATGGCTGTAGAATCACTTAATTATATTCTTAAAAGCGATGAGTCTACATCAACCTATGTAAGAACAATGAAACCCCTAAATAGAAACATGTTTTTTGCTTTGTAAGTCAGTTGTGTCAGAGCACTGATATGGTTGAGTTGAGTCAAGGGAATCAATCAAGAGTCAAATGTCAAGATCCAATGAATGAAATACAAAAACAGCTTTCTACAGCTTTTTATTAGAACATTCAAAATGAAAATGTCTTTACATAATCCATCATTGACAAAATGTAACAAAGAGATTAAAAAAATGTGAGATGCATAGATGCAGAATGTGAGTCATTACACATTCGAATGGTTTGAGGGGGTGGACACTGGAAAGCAATAGGCCAAAGCAACAGGTCTAAAGCGGCTAAAGAGATGAACACATTGCTGGAATACCCTCGGCTCTCTGCTCCTACAGCTGGAAGGTGTGTGTGGATGTACGTGCACGTACTCGCTCATTGGGTCCATAGATTTCTCTCGTGTCCCATATCTGGTCCAGGTAGGACTTACTGCGTGAGACGGTCAATGGCTAAGCTACAAGAATGCTTGGGACTGTGTATTCATGACCATCTGCATGCATGTGTTTGTTAGCATGTTTATTTCTTGCGGTAGTCATCTGCATAGGCTCTGTGATCTTCCTGCTCAGGGTACTGGTCTCTGTACCGCCTCAGTATGTCCTGGAGGCTGGTCATACCCTGTGAGAGTGGCTGGTAGGACATGCGAGGTTCCTCATGGCCGCTCTGGTAGGGCTCCGCCTCGTACTGCTCTTGTTCCTGCTGCTCCGGCTGCTGCTCGCTCTCTGCTGCCCCCTGGCTGTGGTCCTCCTCAGTGTGATGCTCAGGCTGGGCCTCGGGCTGAGACTCGAAGCGGCGCAGGCGGCAGTCGCGGTCGTACTCGGGGTCGCAGTGTGGGTTGGACGGCTCCAGGACTCCGCTGCGTGTGCCGTCGGCATTCAGGTGGGGCTCGTAGGCCTCGGCGGGGTAGGGGATGCGGCGGTGAAGTCCAGCGCGAGGCTCGGTGGGCTTCACAGGGAAGCATTCGCGATCGTAGCCGATGAAGCAGTCATAGCCCTCCTTGGTTTTACCTGGGGGGCCCAGAGGGTGGCGCTCCTCCTGGGCAGGCTCCTCATGATTGGGAGTGGGAAAAGGGAACTGCTGCCTGGCGGAGGGATGACCGCGGCGATGCATAGCAGCCGCCGCCTCGCGGATTGCGAAGTAAGGATCGTTGGGGTTGGTCTCTGGAGCAGCTTCCATGCGTGCATATGGGTTGTCACCTTGAGCTTGGGCCATGAATTTGCGCAGCATGGCGTATGGGTCATTAGCTGGAGCAGAAGCTGGAGGAGAAGCTGGGGCACTAGCCTGGTGGTACATAGCATAGGGATCATTGACTCTGTTAGCATTAGCATAAGCATCCCTGAACATAGCATAGGGGTCGTTCTGCGCAACAGGAGCAGCACGAATGGCAGCAGCCTCATCTCCTTCCTTATTTTGATATGCCTCAGGGGGAGTGGCGAATCTGGTAGCGGTAAGAGGGTTGCAGCCTTCTTCATAAAGAGGGTTGCAGGATCCAGGGCCAGCGGCGGCAGGAGGGTTGGGGGTACGAGGCGCCTGGAGAAACACATCACAGTAGAAACGGAAGTCATTATCATCAAAGCATAGATGCAAATAAAAACACAAACAGAAAGCAGCCGATGAGACGACAATAAACTAAAGCATACCACAAGGGAGGCAGCATGGGCACAGCGGGGATCCCGGGGATCGCAGTTGGGGTACTGCAGGTAGAGACCAGACGGGGCTTTCTGCACCAGTTTGGGTTTGCAGTTGGGGTCTTTGCTGGGGTCACAGCCAAGGTGGGCGTAGGAAGGCAGGGGTCCGGCAGAGGGTGAATACCCGTAGGCCGCTTTCAAGTGGTACTGCAGGCACTCCACATCATCAGAGGCGCAGATACGCAGCAGCTCAGCCTTCTGCTCCTAAACCATGAAAGATATAGGGAGAGATGGTTGAATGATGTTATTGAGGCATCCTGTGGTTTAAGGCCACTGTATGCAGATATTTTATCATGTTTGAACTTATTTTGATAAGAAAAGTTTGGGATTTTGTCAAAACTTTAAGGCAAGTGCAGTGAAAATGATTGCAGTTTTTTTCAGCCCTTCGTTCTCAGCATTCCCATATTGGAAAACACGGTCACTCCGTCTTCTTTAAAACTACCACAGGGGGCACTAAAGTCCAACATTTTCAAATCCTACACACTTTAACATGCAAATATTTGCCACATGTGCAAATCTCTGCAACAGCCTGAGGTTAAGTAAATTGCTGAACCTCAATCTACTCATAAATAAATATATTAAAATACCTTAAATGTACATGGTCATATTAAGAGTAGTCTTGAGGAACACTTTGTGATATTTGTGGTACGATTGTGATGAATTGTATTTCTCTGTTCCAGATGCATCATATCCTTCTAACCATTGGAGTATAAACACTTTGTGGAAGCATACCTTGGAAAGGAAGGATCCTGCGGATGGAGCGTAGTAGTAATACCCTGACTGTGGGTCCTTCGCTGGAGCAGCGGAGCGGGCGTACTGAGGGGCTGGGGCCTTCACTGGTGCCGGGGCGGGGGTGGCAGCCGGGAGCACCAGAGGCTGGTAGGGGCTCTTGCCCTGGACCAAAGCAGCGTACAGGCAGTATGCGTCCTTGGTGGGGTCACAGGTTTTCACAGGTGCAGGTTTGGGGGCCTCTGGCTTAGGTTTGGGCCTGCTGGTGTAGGAAGCCACGCAGTTGGGGTCATCAGAATCGGAGCAGGACTTGTAGACATCCCCCAAGTGGCGCAAGTAGGCCTTGTAGGAGCGACGTCCCTCAGCACGGTTCTTGTTCTGGAGGTAGGCCAGGTAGATGCGGTCCATCTCCTGAACCTGAGAGGGGAGGATGAGTTTATTGGTGAGCTGTTTCAGGCGATGCATGGGCACAGTTTGTAAACGATACTTGTGAAGTGATATCCTAAATTGTATTTAGTATCAAATAATCTTAAAAGATGGTACAGCAGCTGTAGTCTGCTTAAATCCATGCTAATTGCAGAGATGAATGATAGATCTCTGTGGGTTTATCACATTACACATTATCTGACTCATTGTTAATATGTAAATATTGATTAGAGCAACCCTTATTATTGGAATCCATTGTCACGTCTATGAAAGGGGAACTTTAACAGCCTCCTTTTATTGGACAACATAGAATCCTTGTTTGGTACTAAAAAGATAGACTTAAGGTGGAAAGTATTTTTTCTTTTGCAGGTGTGTGTGTGTGTGTGTGTGTGTACTTACTGCCTCCTGGTTGCCGTTGTCAGTGAAGTACTTGTACCAGCCCCAGAAGTCTGAGTTCTGTTTATACCAGCTGATGTTCCTGCGGTTTCTGATCTGCTTCCTGTGAAGCGCTGAATCAGCCGCACTCTCCTGGATACCTTCTCCCGCTGGGGGTAGAAAAGAAAAGTGAAGGCGCTGCTGAAAGGCTTCTTGTGCTCACATCAAGTCCAAGGACTTTCTCGTGACTTTTAAAGTTTATAACAACTTATTCAAGACATCAAACTTGATATATTTGGGGGTTAGACATCATATTAAGCCCTCAATTCGTTTTACTTGTCAAGAATATTGCTTTCACCCCTGGCTGATTTACTCTGCAGAAACAAACACGTATGTGTGTAAGCATATGCTGAGGTAAAAAAAACAACACATATTTACCATCTCCTTTGGCCTTTTTCACAATTGGTCCAGCAGACAAGAATGCTACAAAAAACAGAGAAAAGCAAAAACAGATGTAAATTCCAGAAGTTGCTGAAGTCGAGATAAAGTTTTGGAAATTGCTTACTCTTTCTATTCTGACCTTTTTTTAATTGTGTCTGTAATTCATAAGCTGTAATGTCTGGCATTAAACCTCAAACACTTACAGGCAGGTATCGTTCATTAAATAGGGCAGGGATTGGCTGTGCATGAAACGACTGCAGCCCTTTGTAGATTTTATAGGTGAGCCTGTAACATCACACCCCACGGTGCGTTTTCAAAGAGCTGTGGGCGCACATGTATGTGCGTGCACTGTTTGACCCCATGCGGCTGAGAGAACAGCAGACTCAGCTCTGCTCCAGGTTTCTTTCATCTCCACAGGGAAAAAGTGTTAATGCCTTACAGGAGGAGGAGGAGGAAGAGGAGGGAAAGGAGGAAGACCAACAGGGGAACAGATGACGGGTTTAAAAGAGAGATCCAGAGGGGATAATTCAGGGTTATGTGACGCGTGTCGGAAATAGAAAAAACATCAATCTCCTGCTTCAAAAAAAGAGTTCTGATGAGCTTTGACGGGATTAATCTGAAAGATGTGACGCACACTTTAGCGTGTAAGGTCAAACATAAGGGGTAAGAAGTAAAGGTATGAATTTGCAGAGAGAAACATAATTTAAAAAAAAATAGGCGAATAGAGAAGTGAAGGTGACCTGTGGTGATGGAGCGAGGAGGAGGAGGAGGAGGAGGAGGAGGAGGAGGAGGGTGGGCTAAATGATGCTGTCTCAGTGTATCCGCTGTTTTTTGTTTTTACAAACCTGTAAAAAACTGTCTGGCACATCTGGAAACAGAGCTTTAAGAGGGCCGAGGAGGAGGAGATGCTGACAGGTACTCATTTTTTACATGAAAGGAGACTGCTCCTACTGCTGCTCCCTTTTTCCCCTTTTAACCAGCGTGATTTAAAAAAACATTTCTAAAGGACGGACGGGACTCGCCCCTTCGTAAATATGCCAGTCATGTAGAAAGCAAACTGGAAACAGGTGGTGAAGGAGAAACCTGTCTTCATGTTGAAACATTATAATGATATATGAACCACATTATGATGTACATGAAGCACAGTTGAGTTGACGATGACGTGAGTCCATGAACTGGTGAAGGGCACAGACCCTGCGCAGTCTAACTAACCCCTCAGCCTTGAGTTGTAGATTGTGAAGCTGCATCGCAAGTCAAATTGATCTATGAAGAGTTTTAAATAAGCAAGGTAACAAAGCAAACGGAGGCACAAAATACAGACATTTATTTTGTGTCAAATCTATCGGCTAAAACCAGCGATGCAAAGTGTGCAAGTTTAATTTTGACTTCAGTATTTCAATTTCATACTACTTCATACTACTATTACAATACTTTTTCAAGGCAAATACTGTACTTTTTACTCCACTACATTTATAGGAGAGCCATAGTTAAGATCAAGGTGCAATGTAAGGTTTATCCAATAATGAAATATCACACTGACAGGGTGGAAGTACATTTTGCTGCTAATAGTTTTGTACTTTTACTGAAGTAGAAGCCCTGAAATCATGATGTAGAAACTCAAATATTTGAACACTTTTTCCAGCACCGGCTAAAACTTAAATCAATTCACAATATCAAACCATATTTCTGTACTTTCTGAAACATCTGATAATGTGTAGTTATTTTAAGGTTTCTCGTACTCCCAGCTTTGAAACGGAGGCTGATTATACTGCACGCTGATCATCATGATTATCACTAACCAGTAGTTTTAATGACGGGAAATTACTGCACCTTTGAGTTCTTTCTCATTCACAATACAATTCACCATCATTTTGGAGTTGCATGTATCAAACTAAACATAGCCTTACATTCAAAGAACATTACATAAGCTCATCATTCAATGCTAACTAAATTAAGTACCATCATTTGGGATTTTTATCAAATTGAGGCTTTTTATGCTCTGACGAAAAATGACCAATTACTGCTGTGTCTGCTTACAATAGGAGATAATAGCTGACATATGAATCAATGCGTCCTTTATAATACGCAGGACTTGAATGATTCACACTCGGCCATAGCGAGGAGAGGTCATTCTCCTTAATGAGTGCAAACTGAAAGATGAGTTTCTGTTTTGTGTTTTCTCTGTTTCTGTTTACTGTGTTTCAATGTAGTCAGTTTAGATCACCAGTGGTGGAAAGTAAGTACATTTTGCTCAAGTTGTGTACTTGAGTATTTCCCTTTCATTCCCCTTTATACTTCTACTCCACTACATACTTGAGGGAAATACTTACTCCACTACATTTATTCAACAGCTGTATCTCTTAGTTACTTTTCAGATTAAGATACGAAACATATGATAAGCTTGTAAAACCCTCTTATTGATAGGTTTCTCTTTTATGGGAATTTTTAATGTTTTTATGTTGTTTTTAACATTTTGCTTTAAGTCTGTTATCTGTGTTTATGTGGTGAAACTTTTAAGCAGCCATCATGGCCTCCTTGTAAAAAACTTTCAAAATGGGGCTCATTTTCTGCATTGAGTACTTGCAAACTTTTACTTGATCAACATTGTCAACTCTTTTACTTGAGTATATTTGAGGTCTGCTGTACTCACCAGGCAGCAGAATCACAGCCAGCAGCGTTGTGACGAACACGCCGGAGAAACTGGTTCTCCTCCTTCCAGCCATGACTTGACCTCGTCCTCTCCTGCCAAAGAGACAGACATTCAAAACGATGCTCTGGTGCACCAAAACTTCCCCCTCCATCAGTTTTGTGCCTTGAAATCTTAGCACACAACAAATTTTAGGTGTAGTAAAATGATAGTTATCCACTAGTTATGCTATTTTAAACAATTCCCTGTACAGCTGCATCTTTAGACGCAGATCCTCTCAGACTCAGAGCCCAAAGAGATGTTTGTTACCTTCAAGAGAGGCTCTTACAAACCTTCTAAATCACTGTTGCAAGGTGGTCAATTTTACAACCCCAGACCCCAGACTTGTGCTAGTTTTCACCTGGAGAGCTGGTGAAGCGACCCCTGCAGCTTGCAAACGAACTCTGATTCGCAGGCTTTAATAAATAAACATGTTGCCACAAGGTCTCCTGAAGCTATTGGTTGTTGCAGTCATAAAAAAACAGAACCAGGTGTTGTTCAGCAGTCAAACTGGACTCCAACCTGGACTTGAATCCCTTGTTAAGTACCTTTTTAAATACACAGAAGTGCAGAATCACCACAGTTTGTTTTTGAGTCTCTTACCTGTGATTATCTTATCTTCTGTCTGCGGATCCAGATGTGGACTCAAGTGAAGCCGACAGACCAGGTGACTCAGTCCACCTGGGCTCAAACACTAAGTGTGTGTGTTTGTGTGTGTGTGTGTGTGCGTAGAGGTTCCTGGTGCACCCGGTCCCTCCGGCCTTTCTGACAGACTGCCCTGACAAAGAAATCTGGAAAGGTTTTAAACCAAATCCGTTCATTAACACTCGTGCAGAAAAAAACAGGGACCACCTGAGGGGGTCAAAGGACACCTCAACAAGATGCTTGATTGGTTAGATCTTTCAGAAAGTCTCAGCCAATTGGAGGCACCGTAATTAAAGACAGGAAGAGAGAGAAGGTGGGAGGGCCCGCAGCAGAGATGGAGACGTGGAGGGAAGCGGTATGAGAAGTGGTCTCATGCGGCATTTCTGAATTGAACACGATTGATTATTAATTCACGTTTAAGGTTAGTAATCAAACACGGTGTCTTTTGATGCAACAATCGCTCCGAAGCAAGAAAACCTAAAAGACAGGAATGGACAGAAGAAAGACAACATCAGGAAATAATGAAGGGGATCTGAGCTGCCACATAAGCACTTCTCAGACCCTCAATGAGGGCCAAACCACAGTTCTGTCTAAACCTGAACACACACACACACACATGCAGGACAGCTGGTCTACACATGAGGAATTTGATAATCTACAGTTTCCTCCTCAGTTTAACTGTGTTCAGGCATGCCAGCCTTGTAACACACAAACACACACACACACACGCACACACACACAGATTTGAGTGGGTCTCTGGGCTGTGATGTGTAATATCAGCACATCTGACAGCATTAGCCTGTAACTCCTTCATAACACTCTGTAGTCTGAGGTTTGTGTCCAGGCCGGCTTCTGAAGTTTAAGGCAAAATTGCAATCTGCTCTTTCTCACCAAAAGTCATTAAACCCAAAATAAATCATGTCTGAAGGGGATGAAATTAGTTTATAAACGCTATCTTACTAAAGTTTAGAGAGGATACATCTTTCTATTATTTTTGGATGTACTGAGTTTGGGAAAGTGGTCACCCTGTGAACATTGGCCCTTATGAAGGACACAGATGCTAAACATCTTTATTTTCCTATTTTATGAGGTACACTGTTAAAGTCAAAGTACTTTGAAAAAGCAGCTCCAATATGACACACAGTCTATGCTCGGCCCCATAGTTGCAATTTAAGGGAAATCATAGAAAAGCCCTAAAGCCCTTTTTCAATCAGAGTTAAAGGTTTGTGTCGTGTATCAAGAGTTAAACACTCAAAACTATCAAACATTTTGGTTCAAACGTGCTAAATTCTGGTCGGTGCCAACAAGCCCCGCCTACTTCAAACCAGAGCCCAGGAGCAAAGGAGAAAAACTAAAACTACAGGAATCTTGCATGTGAAATGATCAAATTGCCCTAATTTTGGCAGAAATGTTTTGTGTTCGTGGAGGAATCTGTTGCTCACAGAAAGAAAATGGATTAAAAAAGTGTGTTTTCAGGCCTTCTAAGTTCGGAGTACCACAGCATGCAGTGTGCTTCCAATTGTGTGGCACCAGTTAGGGGAATGCCGTGCTCTGGTTTAATACGACAATAACCCAGAGCACAAAGTCAGGTCCATAGAATAAATTGTTTTCCCAGTTTGGAGAAGAACTGGCCTGCACAGAGCCCTGACCCCAACCTCCGCAAACCCCTTTGAACTGGAAAGCTCCAGAGTAATGTGCACGTCTCAGGAGCGAGATATTCAACGACGGCACATCGGTGTAACGTTGGGGCGTCCACATACTTTTGGCCATGAGCTGTAGCTTCTTTAAACTGTAAGCACCTAACCCTGAACAGCCCTCGTTCTCTGCCCGGGGTAAATGTACATACATGGTGTGAACACATTAATGTGAAGTTTTCTATTTTCTTATCTTCAGGCCGACACATGCAGCAGGTTTACGTGGGCCTGCGTCACCTAAGGGAAAGTCCAAACTGAATACATTAAAATGTAATTTGAAGTCAAAAGTTCATGCAACAGTCAACAGACATAACTGAAGGCACGTATGAAGTGATTTAACTCTTATTATTTCTATATTTACGATACATTTAGAGTCCACACATGAACGCTTTATTTGCTCCGTTTTCTTTTTTTAGCATTTCCACATTTTTCCGCGGCCCGGCTCCTGTCCCGTCGTGCCCCGGCTGAACATTTAGCGGTCGTGTTAACGCCGTATCTCGTTTGTAATTAAGTTTGCCAACAGGTGTTTCACCGAGCCCACAAACCTACAATCCAGACGGGAGCAGATTCAAACACGACGACGACAAAACCATACTCATAATTTACTCCAACGCTGGAATGTGAGGGATTCACAGAATTCACAGACACCTGGTTTACCAAGACAAAAAAAAGATCTTTATCTCTTTACAGTGGTGAGTGACATGTAGGAGGAGGGAGCTGTACAAATAACAAAGAACTTAAGAATAAGCCCATTTTCATGATTTCTTTTCTTCTTCACACGTTCACAGGAACACGCAGGAGGTCAGCTGCTGTCGTCACTGCAGGTCATCGTCATCGAACAGATCCTCAAAGTCTGCAGGCAGTAAAAGCAAGAACACCGGACGGAAAGAAAAGGAGAACAGGGTTAGAATGAGTCCAGCTGTTTCCCCTCAACTCCTACACGTTCAGCTAATTATGCAATATATCATGTCTTTTACAATCATAGCCTCCAAGTCTGAATATGAAAGCTTCTCGTGTGATGTTTGGTACACACTTTTGTGAGTTTGTGGTTGATGTAAATTATATTCTGACCTTTCGAGTCAAGTCAACATTATTCATGAAGCCCAGTAAAACAAATCACCTGGCGGGGCTTTGAGCTCTCTGCAGCGAGGATCTTTCAGAGTTATCTAAAAAGCTACACGTATATATCTCTGCAGCCGTTTGTAGGCTGCGTAGTAATATTTTAAATTATTTATACATTTACCAGAATGTCCATCGGCTGAAAGTGATTTTGTTGGAGAAACTCTTTCTTTCATGTCTGAGTGGCTCCCAGGAACAGGACATTCCTGTTTTAGCCTAATAAGGGACAGGCAGCGAGTCAAACAGCTGCCCCTCGGCTACCCATAACCCCTTGCAACTATTAACACAAGCCACCGCAGCAGCAGGGACCGGGAGTCTTCTTCTAGAAAAAAGATAAAAGAACCAAATTAAAAGGTCTCTTTGAAATGAAATAAAGGTTTTAAATGATCACCCTCGTTGTATAATCAGACAGAAGTCTTTTCCTGTTTTCTATTCCTTGCTCACCTCTTGTTGAATGTTAAATGAGTATTTAGAGTCTCGACTAAGATTTCTTTCGTCGATTAGTCATTTTTCATGCAGAATTATTTCTTTCCAAGAAACTTATGCGCACATCTCTGATAAACAAAGTTTAAAGTGGTGCTTTTGTGGAGAAACTCAGTTCTACAGACCTGTCGATTAAATCAACTACTCGATTAGTCGTCAAAATAGAGTTTCGTCTAAGATTTTTCTTTGATCGAGTGAATCCCTCCCCATTCGTTCTCCATCTGCATTCACTGAAAAGGCAAATGAGGAGCCATTAAGTTGCATCATTTTGAACACTGCATGTCTTATGTTGTGTTCCAGCTGTGTGTCTATCTTCAGATGAAACACGGCGTTGAGTGCACACGTTAAATAGCATGAAGGGTTCTTTATAGGACTCAATTCCCTGTTAGTGCCACGAGCTTAGAATTCACTGAATGGCAGTTTAAGCAGTATTAACCACCAGAGAGATGTGTGTGTTTGTGTTAAAGCAGCTGACTGGCGAGGTGTCCTGCTGAGTCTCAGTCTGACAGTAACTATAAAACTCACTTTACCATCCTCCTCTAAGCTTCCCTCTCTCTTTTCTTTCATTCCCTCCTTTTTAACAATCAGCTCTTTTCTCTCTGGGTCATGTGCTGCTGAGCACAAATAGTTTTGCCTGAAGCCGACGCAGGAAGACAGAAAGCAGATTAGTGTCTTCTTGTGTGTGTTTAGGACTGTGAAACGGGGGTTTACAGGATTTACGGGGTCTTTGAGAAGACAATGAGGTTAAGACAAGAAACTGGTCAACATGCTGAAAACTAAAACTCCCGTTCATGCAGTTCTTCAATAATCTGGTTTCTCTTCTTCACCATTTTATGTCCGTCCTGAAAAATGTACTGAAGTTAAGATGTTCCATTAGGAACTTTCCTGGTGATAAGATGCTTGAAAGGTTTCTTTATTAGCCAGAGCTGATGTGTGTTGAACAGGTTTCTGTTAATCCCTTGATAATTAAAAGGCAACCCAGTTCCTCCTTTACATGATGTTACAGATGTCACATAACTACCAAAAGTCAGGAATGTTTAGTTAAGTTAAATGCACGTAAACACAGCAAATTAACGTCTAAAATCGTGAGTGTCTGCTGACGAATATGGGCAATAAAGCAACAGGACAGAAACAAATCATAATGGTTCACATGCTTTAGTTACCAACACTTGTAACGGTGCACTAGAGGGGCTTTACTTCTTCAACCCAACACATACGAGACTCAAAGGAGTATTTTGCTGCTTCTTTTCTTGCATCACGTCATGTAGCTTTGATTGTTTGAGTTTCAGTCTATTCCTGAATAAAAGTGCTGAATAAAAGAAGATTTCTGCTCAACTCCGCAAGCTTCCTCCTCATTGAATGCCGTCCTGCTGACATGGTACTACTATACTAAAGAACAGGTGACTTAAGAGGAACATATTGGGTAAAAAAGGAGAGAAATGTGTGGCTGACCGTTAAAGAAGTCAGAGTGCACTGCTTTCTCATTGGCTGCCAGGTCCATCAGCAGGCCGCTGCTGCCTCCTGCCTGTTAACACACAGCAGTACCACCAGTTTTAATGCATTAGCACATCACACACACATTGTTTAAATGTAAAGAGGGATAAAGACGCTGCTGGGGGACATACTATAACTTCATGTCTGGTGGTGGGACATTATCAGTACATTATAGAGAGGGGGATACGTTTAGTGGCAGGTTGAATGTGTGTCTCACTATAACTTTTGCTGGGAAAGTAGTAACTTCCCCACATTCACCTAATAACACACACACGAGGGTAGAGCAAACACTGCGCATTCCCCAAAGAAGAAGAGGAGGAAGAAGAAGAAACTGCACATTATGGAAGTAGTTAAAGCTACATATGCTGGCAGATGCAGCCTGGTAGGACAAGTAACATGTCTTACTCGTTGTGTACAAAAAGCGCTATTTAAAAGCAATGCATCATTATGATGATTATTATTATTATTAACCAGAAAGGCTGAAAATCAACTGTCTCTAAAAGCATCTCTTGTTAGAGCATTACAGCTCTAACGTTGCTAAGCTAGCTAGCATTAGCCCGATTATGTCGCTGTTTTTCGGTCCAAATCTATTAACGCACCTCGTCCAGATCCACGTACGGTCCGGCTCCTTCAGGGAACATCTCGTCCACTGCGGGCTTCATTGTGTTCTAGTATCAGTTCAGCTGAACGTGCGGCTTTGAGTCTGTCGGCTAGCTCTGGCTAGCTCGGGTAAACAAAACAAAACGTGTGCAGCACTCAGTTGTGCTCGGCCAAGTCTAACTAGCTCGTTTCAATCGTTCCGCTCTTTATTTGCGTTACAAAACACAGAGGAGCAGTCTGTCCACGTAACTGTTAATAATTAATATTAACCATTAAACTATTTTACAATATTAAATCCTCATGTTGATTTAATCAAGGATAATACGATATTACCTAATTGTACTAACAAAGTAATAATATAATGCATTGCATTGAAAGGGGCGTGGCTTATATATTATGCTGTATAGCTGAAGAACGTGAAAAGTGATTTAAACATTTATTTTATTGTGAATTTTAACGGATTATTTTGTGTAGTAAAGACATTGGTATTACGTTTCTATTTACAAGGATTACTTGATCATAAGTTACTAATATATATATATATAGGGAAAGAAGACAACTAATTAAATTAGAGGAATTGATGATTGAGAAGAATTTGAATTAAAAAAAAAATCATTACATGTTTGGAAATTGTTTTATTTATTTGTGGTGCATTACATTAAGATAACACACAATCACCTACAAAAGGGCTACATACTATGACTACGCTCTATACAGTGATATACTTCATCACAAAGTATTCACTTCATTATGTTGTGACTCCATATTAATTTCCTTATTTCCTCGTCATCTTTCCTTTCTGAGAAATGCATTCCTTTTTTATTTATGCAGGGTGTCACATTAGCTCTTTCCCCGCCTCTTCCTCCTCCTGGATCCTTCCAGCCCCATTTCAGTGTTCCTGTCCTGCGTTGGTCTCATATCCCAGCGTGTCTCCGAGGTGCTGGTGAGCGAAGAAGGTCCGGGCCATCTCGTTGATTTGGTTGTAGGCGCCGATGGATCTGAAGTATTCAATGTAGTTCCAGAAGTCAGAGGTGGAGTAGGGCCAGTAAGGAATAGCTGCTGGTTCTTCATAAGGCCCTAAAGATCAGGGAAAGACAGCTAAGACAACTTAAAGCATAAATCCTCTCTCATGTGCAGTCATACTCCACATTCTGCTGGTCAGGTTCGGTTAGTTCAGTCAGTGTATTTGAAACATGTCCAAGAATGCCTTTACACAATGCTCAGAGAAAGGGTGTGTACTTGTAGCTTTTATATGTGAAAAGAGATGAAGAGCGAGTTTTTCCACTAAAGAAAAGGAGAACCACACCTCCATGTGTACTGTACTGTACTCAAGTACAAAGACATGGTACTTGTACTTTATTTCAGTAGTTCCATTTTATACTCTGTAGTAGTAGAATCTACTCCCCTACAGTTTGGAAGGCAACATTTAGATTATTAATACAAAATATAAATCAACTAATAAATGATGTATTATTATGGATTAAGCTGCCCAGCAGTATCTTAAGTACTTATAATGAGCTCCATCTTTTAGAACTGCAACGTTAAAGTGATGAATGCATTATTTTGATGCTAATACTTTTGTACTTTTTAATATTTTTTAATACTTTTGTGTATGTGCGTGTGTCTGAGATTAAAGCAACCAAAATAAAGTAAATTAAACTTGTCCTTTGGAGCATTGGACTATTTCAGTGTGCATTCACTTCAGCTTGAAGTCTTTGTGTGAATGTCATCAGTGCCAAGAGATGGAAAACTATAATATCTGTGGCATTTTGTGTTTGTTGCAAAATATGAAGGCATCTAAAAGGAGATGTGTTTTTTATATATATATATTACCTTCTTCTGGGATGACTCTGGCCTCTGTGAGGAGACAGAGACAGAGAGAGAGGGGGAAAAAATTAATATTCCCATGCATTCCAAGGCTTCCCATGCACAAAGACGGGATTCAAGTGCAGAAAACTGCACTCCTCAAATATTATTGCTGACGATTTCGCACACACACACAAACACACACACACCCACACAGTCTGAGGCATAAAGAATTCATCATTACACAGAGTCCTCTTTGTACACATGCAGTCACCAAAAACAGATCGTATAGATGCAGCACTTTCACATCTGGGAGAATTATACATGATTTATACACAGCTATACACATTTATGCATGCATGTATCAAATTGGGTTTTATTACTTCACAGCTACATGTTTTTACATTAAAACAAACTTAACTTCAGTTACAAGAAGCATTCAAGTGAATATTAATTAATTCGTAATTTACAGATTAAATAACTCACCAGTGAGTTGAGAAGCACAGAGGCAGAGGAGAACACTGAGACAGACCAACAGCTTCATCTTTCCCCCTGAATGAACAGAAATGCATGTGATGCTCTCTGTTTTAATCCAGCGGTCAGTCTATAACAACATGCAGTATAATAATTCCTATTACCTAAAAAAACTTTTTTTCTTTCAACAATTTAGTGAGAGTAAAATGACATTAAGATGTTTACCTGTAAATGATTTGTGAAGCCGTGCAAAGAGGTGCTGCTGTTCAGCTGCTGGTTGACTGTGGTCTGATGTGTGGGGAGCTTTAGGACGAGCCAGTGGACCTGCATCATGCACACACACACACACACACACACACACACACACACACACGCACACACAGCAAAGCCTTGTCCAGATTGTACTGATTGATATTTCCAGATGATCTGCCCATGCATGTTGTTATTTTTCTCTAGGTCCACATATTGCCCTCTCAATAATGTGATATGTTTTAGCACCTAATTAAGAATTAATTCATTAATGCATATTTGTCATATCAGAATTACAAGGCTTGATTTTAGAAAAGAAATATGTCTTACTCTACTTATAGGATATTCCACTGTGACTTTTTTTCTTCCTATAGTTACTGTGGAACTTTTGGATATGACATTACTCCCATCTCCTCCTTGTTATAGTCGATACACAAAAAAAGATTGACCAAATGACCGGCTTAATGAATAGAGCTTTAATAGTCAAAGAACTACACAAGATTTGCACCATCACCACGAATATGCTTGTGTCATTGCTACACTATGTGTTATGTAACATTATGCAACATGTCCTAATATCACAATTCAATATACCACTTGTGAATTTCTTGAGCAATTGTGTTTATTTATAAGTTTACAAAAATACCATTCCCTCAGTCATTAAAGCACAGAGCAGTTACTACAGAATTTAAAATATAATATGAAAACACGTTAAATGTTTTAATATCTGTAAACCAAGCAGATTTAACTTGTTTTTGTCAGGAATATGAGGAATAGTTACAACATGAGGCCTGGGTGATGCTGGATAAGTACTGGGAATCAAAGCAAACCATACTGAGATATGTTGATCCATATGGAGCCCTGCCCCGGGCTGTGACTAGTTCCTGGTGAATCCCTAGTTATCCTGGCAGCCCATCTGATCGGTGGGCTTCATCCTACACAGTTCGATCCCTTCCTTGGTCAGCAGCTCTTTGGCGTATTTCACGGTCTCCGGAGGAGGGAAGCGAGATCGGCTGAGGATCCAGGCGAAGTCCACGTGAAAAATGTTGAGGATGTTGGTGCAGGAGTACACGATGGACAAGCTGGTGTAGTCTGTGCTCACAACCAAGTAAGGGCTGTAGGGCGAAACTGGGAGCAAAAGTCACAGAGACAAAGGAGAGTGAGGTGTTTGTAAAGCAGAGTTTATGAAATATTTTGTTAAATAAACCAATGCAACCCAATTAACTACATGTACTATGAAACAGAGGCGTCTGAGCAAGATTTAAAACAAAATGAACGAGAAGAGAACTACAGAGAAAGGATTACTCGCTCATAGTCGAGATCTGACTAACAGTATGATTGTTTTAGGTGCAAGACACATGAATAAATGCAAGTATCATCTGCATATTGATGATACAGAACAACGTATAAATACCCAAGACTAAGTGTCTACAGCCGTGCTAGCAGCCCTGTGAGGAGGAGCTAAATGCTAACAATGTCCCCTTAACGTCACAGTGATGTCATGCTCAAGTTGGCTGAAAAAGGACATAAACATCTACTGATAACTAGGTGGACAAAGAACAAGAAGGGGAGGAAGACAACAGCAAAGATGACAGAAACTAAAAATGTGAAGAGGATGAGGATGAAGAAGAGTGCTCACAATACGAGAAGCTGACTCCAAGTCTGGCAGGTTCTCTCGGGTCCTGAACCACTGCAGTCCCTTGGGCTACACTCACCTTTCCTTTACTGAGAGAGCGAGAGAGAGAGAGAGGTAAACTTTATCAAACTAATATAAGGGACACAGTAAATCAGCAGTAGTGCATGCTACATGTTCAAGGGAAGAGAACAAGATTAGTTTAATTGACAATAGTTTAATCCAATTACACAATCACTGCAATCAGAAAGATGGAATCAACTGTCTATCATCTCCCAGCATACAGGTTTGTCTACAGTGTATTCAGTCCTTTCCTCTGTTTAATTATGAGCATACTCCACCCTAAGGTGTGCCACCACAAGGCCTTCAGTCATCTGCTCAACGTCCACACATAACTAATAATTCATATTTTAAATAATTATTACTCATTGCATATTTATACGGTGATCCAACCGACACGTGAGCATCAAAGCTTTGGTGTGTGCCATTCTCTCTGGTGGAACAAGAGTCACAAAGATAAGCAAATTGGTTTGGTTTGAGTAAAACCTGAGTCAAATTGTTTTGAGTTAATCTTTGTTGTTTTAGTGTATCAATTTAAATTTAAATAAATCTTCTCTTCTAACTCTCTGTAAGACGGTGGATGAGCCTATTTCTCAAAATGCTGCTACTGAATTATTCCTCAGAGTCTGATGGAAGAGATGTAGCCAACTAGACTATAGTGGGTTTGTTTCCAAGCTAGAATCTCGAACACCGAACTTCAAATCAAATCCAAAGTCAATAATCAAAATCCCTCAATACTCACTAGAACTGGGAGTTCAGGACCTGAATGGTTCCATCTTCCCTCAGGGCATAGTTGGCCTCAATGCACTTTCCTTTCTCGAAGGAAGCAGGCAGCTTCTCGATCTCGTACCACCTACCCAGATACTGTTAACAGAGATGTTTCATTAGTTCTGTACAGTTCAGTGCATACCACGTGCATGAATGAATGTTTTTAAGGTGTGTTTACCTGTGGAAGGTTGAAGTTGGGCTGCACCTTGGGAGTAGGACAAGGACCCCAATGATAGGTCTGTGCTGACACCAGAGGGAGCAGCAGCAGGACGAGGTAGACTGCAGACATTTCAATCTGAAAAGTTATTAAATAAATGTGATGGAGTAAAAATGAGAATATTACCACCTGAAAATATAAATACTCATGTAAAGTACAATTCAAATTGTAGTTAGTAAAAACTAATCAGGCACCAGGCTTCGACAAGGAACAAGAATGTGTGCAATAAAAAAGACGTCTCCGGTTCTGCTGCATTGAATTTGATCCTTTTGTTTAAAAGAAAGTATCCAGCGTGAGTCTGATAATATATTGGAAGTGTAATACTACATATTGTAAGAAATAAAGCACCTACACTTGTGCAACAAATGTCACAAAATCAAACAATCCTAAATTTTTCTTTGTGTGGTCAGAAATAGTGGATTATATAACTATTGACAGTGGAATTAATAATGTTGTCTGGTGTTATTGCTGTTATCTAAAAGAATAGCTGTATGTGGATGTTTCTGTTAGCAGGCTGTGGTCAGGAGTTACACAATGTGGGCTTTTGTGTTCATTTACGTCAAAGGTGTACCTGCATTCTGTGGAGGGTGTTTGGCGTGGCACATTTCTTCTTCTATTGTTCTCCCTAGAGATGTAACCTGGTTGACTAGGATTTCATGGTTTTGTGAAAACACTGTCTATCCCTCTCAGTGCTGTAGCAGAGAATCTCATCTTCTCTTTTATCTCTTTACACAACATCAGCAGCTGCTTAACCCGTTCTTCTAGTTTCACGTAACAGCTGAACCTTCATACAGGCTTATATAATACTTGCTTTTAGTGGATACTACTGCGTAACAATAACCACAAGCCTTATATCTAATAGTTTCTAAATGTGTTTTGAGCTTAATGATAAATAAAAAGCTGCAGTAAAAGTAAAACACTGATTTACAACGTTACAATTGTACGACAGAGCTGCACAACTACATTTAGATTGTAGTCCCAATTTGCTACAAGAACACATTTTATAATGTAATTTAGGAAACCAAAGTCGAAAACAAGTTTTTGTAAACGGCAGGAAAACAATTGCTTTAAAAAAAAAAAAGAGCCATGTTAGAAAATAAACCTTTATCTTGTTAAGTCTACCTTTGAATAGAATTCAGCCATAAAACGTTCTTACCTCAGGTGTACGAGGGTTAAAGATGTCAGGTGGAGGTATGGTGGAATCTGCAACCGTTCATGAAATATATAACTGAGCTCTGCAGACAGACACAGACTGGGAGTGTGTTCACGTTACATCACTCCCACAGCACGAGGCTGCTCATCAGCTCAATTGTCATCATGCGCACATTCCCATGTTGTGAAAATGCACACGCTGTGATACGGGTTAAATGTTTGATTCAGTCGACTCCCACAGTTTTATTTTCAAGCACACTCTCATTCACTGCTTCATTATTATGCAGATTCAAGTATATTATTTAATTAGAACATTCTTTGTACAATTATTTATTTAATTTTGTTGTGGTGCTGATTTGTTCTGATTATGCAAAGCACATACATAAGGGCTGATTATTGTTATAATACCGACTGTGGCTAAGTGGAGAGCAGGGCCGTCCTTCAATCAGAGTGTCGGCGGTTCGATTCCTGGCTCCACTAGTCACATGTCGATGTGTCCTTGAGCAAGACACTTAACCCCAAAATCGCTCCCGTAGCTGTGCCGGTGTGATAGAATCTGAATTGTAAGTCGCTTTGGATAAAAGCGTCTGCTAAATGACTGTAATGTAACAAGTGGCTTGGCCCCAGTGTGTAATCCTTGTTGCAACAACCAGATGGTGCCAAAAAAAGAACACAAACAGTAGTAACTTTATATCATAGCCTAGTTTCATAATATATTCATAAGAAAGTCACAGTGCAGTGTGCCATTTAACAGTCATATCACAGTATGCCATCAAATGTCTTAAGAAATGCCCTTCTATCGAATGTCCTCAAAAATGTCTTAAGAGTTGTAGCACATTGTGTCACAAACATGTAAAGAAAGTCAGTCACAGTATAGTATGTCACAAAAAAGTCACATGAAAGTTAGCTCAGTTGGTAGATTGTACATACTAAGCATCATAACTAAGTCCTTCAGTTTGTGTCCTAGGGTTCGAATCCAACATGCGGCCCTTTGCTGAATGTCTTTGTTTGTCTCTATTCTCACTAATAAAAAAAGGTACTTTTAACAAGTAAGAGTCATTGTAAAGTATGTTAAAATGCTTTTTCTTTTTTTTAAATCAGTATGTTGAAAAAAGTCATAGATCGTCTTTCATATTTGATGACACTATTATCACATAATTACAAAAAAAAACAAACTTATCTGACTTATTCTTTTTTCAACTAAACTTTAATATCAAACCTTTTTTTTTTTTTTTTTTTACCTGAGCCAGTCTGTATCTCAGTGGACTCACCATTCACCACCTCGCAGGTCTTTATCATCTTTATCATAGTAACTCCGGTGGCAACACTTCGGGCAAGTGTGCCTTATCTGCCTTCCACCTCAGGAACTATCGTCCTAATTTATTCAGCGGTTGTTTTAAAAAATAAATAGAATTCAGGGGCTCTGCTTCTTCTACAACAGCTTCACCGCTTCCTCCCTTAAACCTCTCGGTACATGTATTTCCTTCTAGAGAGGAATGAGCATTTCTACGCACAATGAGACCAAACACACACACACAAACTTAATAAAGATTATTTATTTCCAGTGTTTGTTGAGGGAGGGCATTGCACCCTTGTTTTGCTGTACACAGGCGAGATGTTCACTGTTCAGGGAACATTGTCTCATGCAGTTTTAAAGATACCTTTGTGTTGCTTCTCCCAGGTTTTAAGCGCCCATGCATTTTACTGCATTTGAAAATAAAAAGAGGGGAGGGGAGGGGAGGGGGTAAAACTCTAATGAAACACAGACACCGACATACATTTGAATGCTTTGATGTGAGTTTAACTAAAAACAGGAAAGACCCCACAACAAACAACATGTCTGGAATGCCTGTGAGATTATTCTCGTCCACTGCTGGTAGAAACAGCTTAAAAAAGGGGAAAAAAGAGGCACTTCTTCTTCTTGAGATAAAAACAACGTGTAAAAACTTACTTTTTGGACTATAACTGGACATAAAATCCACTGTACCAAGCATTACATACTTTAGTATCAGCATTTCATTGCTGTTTTTTCTTCAGTCTTTATTTGATAAAACTATAATAGTCCTCCAGTCCATCAAGCTAATATCTGGCTGTTATGACTGTACTGTGAAAAAACAAACTTCCCACAGCACTCAGCTCAGAAAGCAGCCCTCAGTTACATCCATATACTTCAAGTACAGGCAAAAAAAAACACATACATATTGTTTTGAAAAGGACAATATTGTCACAAGCAACTATTGTTAGTCCGAGAGAGTAATACATTCTTCATACCGCTTATAATAGGAAGAACTGAATCATGATTCCTTTAAAAAAGAAACGATTCCTCCTGCATTCAGTAATAAGTTGACCTTCCTTCTTCTCATTAGTGCTGTTTAACAATCCACAAAGTCCACTTCTGTCCCGTCCACTCACATTCTTGCATTAGTAGGGTTCCATCCTGCAGGAGGAAGTCAGAGTTCTGTCCACGTCTGTTCCAGTCAGTGGAATCACACACATAAACATCTCTTCAGCATTATTCCAGTAACAATCACATAAGCCTATACATAGTATGTACATTAGATACATAAAGTATACTTTGTAGAAAAAATATTGTGCAGTAACCTTAGCTAAAATACCCACATTCGTACATTTACGCATTCATTCAGGTTTTTTTGAATCCTCACAAACACGCTAGACAAGACCGCTCTTGCCGTTTCACAGATACTGGTAGAACCGCGAGCGGACGACCTGTGCTCCGGACAGTTTGTGTGGGTGAGCGTCCGCCCCGAGGCTGGCTTTGTTCTTGCCTTGCAGCCCGCTACCGTTAACGTGCTCCCCTGCTAGCGGCTGTGCGCCCGGAGACGGTCTTTCAGGGGCTACGTCCTGAGCCTCTGGGTGAACCTCCTCGGTGACGGATGTAGGTGCAACTTCACCGCTGGAATCGGAGCCTCTACACCGCTCTCTAGTGATCCAGTCCCGGATGGAGAAGTCCTGAGAGGAACATCTGGGCTTGAGGCGGTCCAGAGCGGACAGATCGGCGGTCTGGTCCACACCGCCTTGCTCCCTCCAGTCGTTGATGGCCGCCAGCTCGGCGAAGTCCCTCTGCCCGCCCATGGTGTGCCTGCGGCGGATGTTCTTCTTCTTCCCGCGGGCGTCCGGGGCTCGGTTCTTCTGGGTGAACATATCGTCGGCAGATGAGCGTAACCTGAATTTGAGCCGCTCTGTGATCTTGAGGTGCCAGGCTGGTTCGGGACGCTCCGACTCGCTGCGGGAGGACGAGCTGAGGCTGCTCGTGGACCGCCCTTTCTTCATCACCTCCAGGACCCGAGAGAGCCGCGTGGACGACTCCGATCTCCCCTCGCTGCGCTCCGTGCTCCCAGAAACACCCTCCACGGATGACTCACTGTCCGTTTGCTGTCGTAGGGACCACCTTCTGGAGAGGGTGTCGCACTCGATCATCCTGTGTGACGGGAAAAGGCGCCGTGCTTCCAGCTTCGGCGTGGTGCCGCTCTCGGCTGCTCCACCTCCTCGAAGTTCGGTCTTTTCCAGACTCTGGTCCGGGCAGGGTGTAGACTGGCTGCTGCCACCGCCCGGGGCGAACACCGGGAAGTCACTTTCACTGTCCGTCTCCATGGGTCGTCCCTCGCTGATCAGCTCACTGCGTTCGTCGTCCGCCTCCTCCCCACCCTGCAGCTCCGGACTGAGCGCACTGGACTCCGCTCCTGTCAAGAATGTGATGGAAGAAGTGGTGGAATAGTCCGAGGTGATGGAGCTCACCTCTGCACCGGCGGACGCGCCTGGACCTGCCACCGGCCCGACACACGCTCCTACAGGAAGATCAGGGGACACTCCGGTCCACTTCTTCGGTCTCGACCTGGGCACAGACGCTCCAGAGCTCATGGTCCCGAGGTCTGAGGTGTTCTCATCAAGCTGGGATGGGGGGTCCGACAAGGAGGGTTTCGCCTGAGCTTGGTAGACAGAGATATTTGGGGAGGGGGAAGTTGAGGGGTGTCTGGGTGGAGTCTTCTCCTTCAGGAATAAGGAGTTTCTGTGCTCCCTCTTGGCTTTAGGTGTGACCTCCACAGTTCTGCCGTTCTCCTTCCTCTCCTCTGCACGTACCGGTTGCTTGGCGCTGGGTTTTGCGTTGGGGCCGGGACGAGTCTCGCTCTGAGCCTCGGTCTGGAGGCCGTGGTGGTTCGGCTTCTGAACAGCGATTTCCTTCTTGAGGAACACAGCATCCAGATCATCATCTGAGCTGCTGGCCTGCGGCTTCTCCTTTGACTTCTTTCTTTTGCGGCTGGCTGCAGCAAAGATGGAGGAGACTAGGAGCTCTCGATCCTTCCCTGAGCCCCAGGAACCCTGCAGAGAGGGACAGACGAGGAGGAGGAGGAGGAGGAGGAGGAGGAGGAGGAAAGCAAAATGAGTATTTCTGAAGGAGCACATCAAAGAGAACAAAACAAACCTTCCCCCCTGCCTGGAAAACTTAAACCTGTACTCCACCTGCTCCCGTGAAGCACCACAAACCAGAGAAGTAGAGAGAGAGAGAGGAACATTAACAGGCGTCATTAACAGGGAGCACAGTATTGTTTCCATGCCGGCAGAAGCAGGAGAAGCAGCGGCACAGCATGAACTGAAGCGTCCCTGCATGAGCCTGAGCTCTGGCATGAGTGGCCTAAAAGCTGGAGGAAGGCAGCCACATAACAGCAGTGCAGTGATGAAAAGCACCTGCTTTTGCTAATGACAACATAGTTAGGTTTTTTTCTATCTCATAATGAGAAACTGCATAAATACAGAGCTTGTCAGCCACAAGTGCGATGTGTCACGAAGCAGAATAGAGGCTGTGGCTCTCTGGACGTACGGTCAGCTGTCAGACTGAATGAACTTAAATGGGCGGTTCACCCAAATTACAAAAAAACACATTGTCTAACTCAGCCCTTGTGGAATCTACCCATGCAGATAGTTTGGTTTCATTTGTCTCCGTTTTCAGATATCCATCTGTGGTATTGATGCTTCTACCGTGATACCATGAATGTGAATAAATTATAATTCGTAGTGCTCACATCATTGAGAAATGACATTTAAAATGTTCAACATAAACAGTGACGATTCACAGGCTGAACAGGTTTTGGGACTATTTCTTCAGTGGAACGTGGTTACGATGAAAACTAGCAGTACATTTCCAAATGAGAGCAAACTTGCAAGCTCATTGCATGCCGCGCTAATAAAACCTGAGTTGCAATCTGTGTTGGACTGTACGATGTATAAAATATAAAATATGAGGTATGCTGATCTTGATCTGTCCTGCTCATCACCTACCTCCTGTCATCCTCCACTAGCAGTGGCCTGAGAGGGCTAACGCTGAACACACACACACACACACACACACACACACACACACACACACACACA